TTTGTAAAAACTTTAATTGAATTTCAATAAAGTTAAAGGCATGGCCTCACTGTTAATATTTAAAAAAAAAAAAAATATTAATAATATTATTTGTTATATATTTTTTTAATGTTTTATATTACTTAAAACTCTTAATTATTATATATTTTTTTTATTATAGTTTTCTCTTAAAATTTTTATTATCACCAATTTCCTTATATTTACTAATGATTTTAAATAACTTTTAGGAACAATAGTTCCAAAAAACCCATCTTAGGTAGATAATTAACATAATCATAAATTACATTATTATGTCATATTAATTATCCTCTATTGTGTATCTTTAGAATCACATTTTTACAACTCATAATAATTAATTATATTTATTACATTTCATGCATTTTTCATATAATTAGTTATGATATTTCAATCTTATAATATCAAGATTTCAACTATTAATGCAGACTCCTTATCATGTTTTTTACAAACAAGCTCTAATGAATTATTGTTATACATATAATTTAAAACTCTCTCTTTTGTTTTGAAATGTGATTTTGTTAAGCTTAACTGATCTAATTTAGTGAAATTAGATGTGCTTAATAATTTATTATGTTGATGGCTTAATAGTTTATTACTTTGATAGCTTGATTATTCATTTCTTTGATCAATTATATTGACAACTTAGTATCTTTATAAAGAAATCATTATCAATTTATCTACATACATTGTAACTATATAATATAAAAATGTAACTTGTGTGTATTAAATTAATTTGATATTTGCTTAACTGATCTAATTTAGTGAAATTAGATGTGCTTAATAATTCATTATGTTGATGGCTTAATAATTTATTACTTTGATAGCTTGATTATTCATTTCTTTGATCAATTATATTGACAACTTAGTATCTTTATAAAGAAATCATTATTAATTTATCTACATTCATTGTAACTATATAATATAAAAATGTAACTTGTGTGTATTAAATTAATTTGATATTTGCTTAACTTTTATTTAAATATTTGAAAAATAAAACTTTATAAATTTATGTAATTCTATAATTTTAAATACCTTAGTATATATAATATATAACACGTAAAAATAGGTAAACTTTATTTTAATAAAGCTAATTATTAACTGTGTAACCGGTTAAAAAGGCTGGTTATTAGTCTTTACAGGACCCTACTAAAGTTATACGCATGTCTGACTGTAATATATCTAATGCATATGTTGTGCGTCAAATTAAAATCTGTGTCAGATTAAAACCGCAAATACTGCAATACTAAACAGGACACTCATCCTAATCTATCAAATCTCGGCATTTAAATTTTGATCTGACGCAAATTTTAATCTGATGCACAAGTGACAACTACCAATAAATTCCAGATCAAGTGAGCTCAAAAAAAAAAAAAATCTAATATATTAATAAAATTTTTTTGTTCAGAGTTCGGAACTTGGGTATAGAAAAATCCAACTATAATAGTTTCGGACTTTGCAAAACCTTGCTAAAATAAACAGTATCATTAAACCATTTATTGATTCCTTATTTAGAGATCACCTAGTGCTAGTTCTAAGTATATTACTAAAGCCAACTGAATTATAACTTAACCAACTTAACCACACGTGAAGAACCTGGCTTTAAACTATTTCCAAATAAAGATGTTAGACAAAACATAAACTTTTGAAATACTAATTATATTTTTAATGATTTCACACTAGTTTATTAGATATTTAATTATATGTATATGGGCCGTTGAGAAAAGTTATTAACCGATATCCAGCTCTACGTCTGTAATACCAATAATAAATCTTTATCGCTATTTCTTGCAAAAATTTGATTAATCAAAATCAGATCATTAAAAAAAAATTCCCGAAATAACATATTAACGATAAATAAAATGATAAATACTAATCTATAAGAACTAATTAATAATCATTGTATTGAAGTATTTAAAAATGCAAAAAAAAATAATTGATATTTCTGAACAATAAGTCAAAAGAAATGATGTTAAAATATTAACTTCAATAAACAATAACATCTGTAAACGATAAAATGTTAACAATAGCAAATAATGAAAAGTTACTAAAAATAATATTATTGTATATGAACTTGGAAAAAGGTCATTGTTTGTCTACATTCATTTTTCTCAAAACAGACAATTATATGGACTAACTCTATCTACAGTATGTCAAATGGTACCAATTCGACAAATTAAGTATGGCATGAGTGTTTACATAATAAAATCAATCCCGAAATGTTGGTTCTATATAAAGTTTCGAATACAGTTCTACTTACAACATATACACTGGAAGAAATTTTTCTTGCATGTAATTTCCTTATGTCTTCTTTGGACAACTACGATTCATAATCACAAGGTATAGTTGCCTTAGTCATCATATTTTGGTAGTATTTTTTTTTCTTATAATACATCAAAAGAATTGGAGGAAAGTACTGTTTTTATTACTTTATGAGTCATTAAACATACGTCTTATTGCATACATAAAAATATAACCATTACTATTTTGATGACTGATGTTACACCTGAAGCACCAACTCCAGGCAGATGTTAACTTCAAACACGACAATTTAATGAAAGCTACGGCACTAACTTTATAATTTTCTTTTTAAATTCAGAACCTAATACACAAAGGCTCCAACCATATGAAACGTCGCCATTTTATTACTACTAAGTATTCAAACATTATATTAAGAATGTTGTATGAAAATTGAGTTTAGGATTAAACATTCAAAATTTCTGTCAAATGACTTTACGAAAGAAATGTCAATTTATAATCCCAATTATCCAGAATCTTCTTTTTATCCTGTGTAAGCACAGTCTTAACACGTCCATGTGAACAGTCTATAAATATAGGATACCCCAAATCATCCATAAAACTGTATAAACGCTTTGACAACTTGTAATTGCATGTTAATGTCATGTCACTTAAGTTCTGATCGGCACTTACAAACTGTATAATACCCTTCTTGTTTCCCTGTTTAAACACATCCTTTTCATCCCAATTGAAACTACATATGTTTTGAAACATTATACCCTTTGCAATATATGTTAGAGCTTTAGTGTCCTCGACATATGGTTTTGTCTGCGTCATTACAGTTTTGGTCGAATGAGAAGCCGATGTTGGCCTAGCTACTGCCTCATTGGAAAGGTCTGTAATGTTAAGGTTAGACTTTACAAGCTCTGTGAGTTCAAAAAGATGACTTGGTTCATGTTCTTGCTCATTAGTATCTGATATTTCAACAAATTCAATAGCAAAGTTATCATTATCAACAAATTTTGTCTTGCTTTCATCAAGTCCCGTAATAATTTTATATTCACTGAATGGACTCTTGAGAAATAAAGGATATCCAGTTATTGATGGAGGGGGTGTTTGAACATAGGCTTTTCCGAGTTCATATTCAAGATATAGTGAAACACATGATAATTTTGGGTCTGCACTACTAATTCGACAAATACCTTCTGTTTTACCACTGACAAAAGCTAGCTTCTCGCTCATATGAAAATGAGATATGCCCCTAGAGATTAAGCCTTGGATTAAATAAGTAAAACTTTTTTGGTCAGTGAAAAAACCTGTTGTTTGCACGCCTATAGACCTTTTATTACAGCTTTTTTGCTCGTTCATGGTGATTTGTTTGTAAGAAAAAATGATTGCGTTCTCAGAAGTATTTATTGGAATGTATTGACTATATTTGGTTTAATCAGATTTCAAGACCAGGTGGAACAGGACCCCGAATAATACTAATAGAGGTTACATTGGCTCTAATATAGTGTGAGCCCGATTTTTTGTAAATCACGGGTGCCCGAATCGAAGCGACGATCCTTACCCGATCCAAGGTCACGCG